TGTCTGTCTGTCTGTCTGCTGTCTGTCTGTCTGTATGTCTGTCTGTCTTTCTGTCTGTCTGTCTTATGTCTGTCTGTCTCTCTCCTCTATCTCCTCTCTCTCCTCTCTCTCTCTCTCTCTCAATCTCTCTTTCCCTCTCTCTCTCTCTCTCTCTCTCTCTCTCTCTCCTCTCTCTCTCTCTCTCTCTCTCTCTCCTCTCTCTCTCTCTCGCTCTCTCTCTCTCTCTCTTACCCACACACACACACACATGCACACACCACACACCAGTGGAGTCCCACAGGGCTCTGTACTCGGTCCTATCTTGTTTCTGATATATGTAAATGATCTCCCGGAGGGTATCGATTCATTTCTCTCAATGTTTGCGGACGATGAGAAGGATGATGAAATTATGAGAAGGATTAAAACAGAAGAGGACTGTTTGAGGCTTCAAGAAGACCTAGACAAGCTGAAGGAATGGTCGAACAAATGTTGTTTTAGAGTTAAAACCAACCAAATGTAATGTAATGAAGATAGGTGTAGGGGAGCAGGGAGGCCAGATACAAGGTATCATTGGGAGAGGAAATTCTCAGGAGTCAGAGAAGGAAAAAGAACTTGGGGGTTGTGATATCACGCCAGACCTGTCTCCTGCAGCACATATCAAGCGGATAACATCAGCGGCATAGCCCAGGCTGGCCAACATACGAACGGCATTCAGAAACTTGTGTAAAGAATCATTCAGAACTTTGTATACCACATATGTCAGGCCAATCCTGGAGTATGCAGCCCCAGCATGGAGTCCATATCTAGTCAAGGATACGACTAAACTGGAAAAGGTTCAAGGTTTGCCACCAGACTAGTACCCGAGCTGAGAGGTATGAGCTACGAGGAGAGACTACGGGAATAAAACTCACTTCGCTGGAAGACAGAAGAGTTATGGGGGACATGATCACCACATTCAAGATTCTGAAGGGGATTGATAGGGTAGATAAAGACAGTCTATTTAACACAAGGGGAACACGCACAAGGGGACACAGGTGGAAACTGAGTGCCCAAATGAGCCACAGAGATATTAGAAAGCACTTTTTAAGTGTCAGAGTGGTTGACAGATGGAATGCATTAGGAAGTGATGTGGTGGAGGCTGACTCCATACACAGTTTCAAGTGTAGATATGACAGAGCCCGATAGGCTCAGGAATCTGTACACCTGTTGATTGACGGTTGAGAGGCGGGACCAAAGAGCCAGAGCTCAAACCCCGCAAACACAACTAGGTGAGTACAACTAGGTGAGTACACACACACACACACACACACACACACACACACACACACACACACACACACACACACACACATACACACACACACACGCACCACCAACATGGGTTCAGAGATGGTAAATCGTGCCTCACAGGTTTAATAGAATTTTATGACCAGGCAACGAAAATTAGGCAGGAAAGAGAAGGGTGGGCCGACTGCATTTTCCTGGATTGCCATAAAGCCTTTGACACAGTACCCCAAAAAAGGCTGTTTTAAAAAAGTTGGAGCAACAGGCAGGAGTAAAAGGGAAGGTGCTCCAGTGGATAAGGGAGTACTTAAGCACCAGGAAACAGCGAGTAACGGTGAGGGGGGAGACATCAGAGTGGCGAGATGTCACCAGCGGAGGTCCCCACAGGGCTCAGTACTTGGACCCATCCTGTTTCTAATATATGTGAACGATCTTCCAGAGGGTATAGACTCATTCCTCTCGATGTTTGCTGATGATGCAAAAATTATGAGAAGAATCAAGACGGATGAAGATAGACAGAGACTACAGGATGACCTGGATAAACTGGAGGAATGGTCTAGAAAATGGCTGCTGAAGTTCAACTCTGGAAAGTGTAAGGTGATGAAATTAGGCGAAGGGAGCAGGAGGAGGCTGAACACAAGGTATCATCCTGGAGGGGAAATCCTGCAAGAATCAAATAGAGAGAAGGATCTGGGGGTTGATATCACACCGAACCTGTCTCCAGAGGCCCACATCAAAAGAATATCATCAGCGGCATATGCTAGACTGGCCAACATAAGAACTGCCTTCAGAAACTTGTGTAAGGAATCTTTCAGAACCCTGTATACCACTTATGTAAGACCAATCCTTGAGTATGCAGCTCCAGCCTGGAGTCCATACCTAGTTAAACACAAGACAAAGTTAGAGAAGATTCAGCGGTATGCCACCAGGCTCATCCCGGAACTGAGAGGATTGAGCTACGAGGAAAGGCTAAAGGAGCTGAACCTCACATCCCTGGAAAACAGAAGAGTAAGGGGAGACATGATAACCACCTACAAAATTCTCAGGGGAATTGACAGGGTGGACAAAGACAAACTCTCAGCACGGGTGGGACACGAACAAGGGGACACAGGTGGAAACTTAGTACCCAGATGAGCCACAGAGACGTTAGAAAGAATTTTTTCAGTGTCAGAGTAGTTAATAAATGGAATGCACTAGGAAGTGATGTGGTGGAGGCTGACTCCATACACAGTTTCAAATGTAGATATGATAGAGCCCAGTAGGCTCAGGAATCTGTACACCAGTTGATTGACACTTAAAAGGCGGGACCAAAGAGCCAAAGCTCAACCCCCGCAAGCACAATTAGGTGAGTACAATTAGGTGAGTACACACACACACACACACACACACACACACACACACACACACACACACACACACACACACACGCACACACACACACATGGGGGCCTTTTTATGGGGGCCTCGTAGCCTAGTGGATAGCGCGCAGGACTCGTAATTCTGTGGCGCGGGTTCGATTCCCGCACGAGGCAGAAACAAATGGGCAAAGTTTCTTTCACCCTAAGTGCCCCTGTTACCTAGCAGTAAATAGGTACCTGGGAGTTAGTCAGCTGTCACGGGCTGCTTCCTGGGGTGTGTGTGTGTGTGGTGTAGAGAAAAAAAAAAAAAAAAAAAAAAAAAAAAAAGTAGTTAGTAAACAGTTGATTGACAGTTGAGAGGCGGGCCGAAAGAGCAAAGCTGAACCCCCGTAAAAAACACAACTAGTAAACACAACTAGTAAACATACACACACACACACACACACACACACACACACACACACACACACACACACACACACACACACACACACACACACACACACACACACACACACACACACACACACACACAAGAAAGGGGATAGACAGGAGGCACTGAACTACAGGCCAGTGTCCCTAACTGCATACCATCAAAGCTGATGGAGAAGATGTGCGAAAAAAAACTAGTGGAGCATCTGGAGCGAAGGAACTTTGTAACACAGCATCAACATGGTTTCAGGGATGGCAGGTCCTGCCTCACAGGGTTACTTAAATTCTACAACCAGGCAACAAAAATAAGGCAAGAAAGAGAAGGGTGGGCAGACTGTATATTTTTGGATTGTCAGAAAGCCTTTGATACAGTGCCACACAAGAGGCTAGTGCGAAAGTTGGAGACGCAGGCTGGAGTGAATGGGAAGGTACTCCGGTGGATAGAGGAGTACCTAAGCAACAGGAGACAACGAGTCTGTGTGAGGGGTGAGGTCTCAGATTGGCGAGACGTTACGAGTGGAGTACCGCAGGGGTCAGTCCTTGGACCTATACTGTTTCTGGTATATGTAAATGATCTCCCAGAGGGTATAGATTCGTTCCTCTCAATGTTTGCCGACGATGCAAAAATTATGAGGAGGATTGAAACAGAGGATGATAGTAGGAGGCTACAAGATGACCTAGATAGACTGAGTGAATGGTCCAACAAATGGCTGTTGAAGTTCAACCCGAGTAAATGCAAAGTAATGAAACTAGGCAGTGGAAACAGGAGGCCAGACACAGGATACAGAATAGGAGATGAAGTACTTAATGAAACAGACAGAGAGAAAGATCTAGGAGTTGATATCACACCAAACCTGTCTCCTGAAGCCCACATAAAGAGAATAACGTCTGCGGCATATGCGAGGCTGGCTAACAACAGAACGGCGTTCAGGAACCTGTGTAAGGAATCATTCAGAATCTTGTACACAACATATGTAAGGACCAATCCTGGAGTATGCGGCCCCACCATGGAGCCCGTACCTTGTCAAGCACAAGACGAAGCTGGAAAAAAGTCCAAAGGTATGCTACTAGACTAGTCCCAGAACTAAGAGGCATGAGTTATGAGGAAAGGCTGCGGGAAATGCACCTTACGACACTGGAAGACAGAAGAGTAAGGGGAGACATGATCACAACCTACAAAATCCTCAGGGGAATCGACCGGGTAAACAAGGACGAACTATTCAACACTGGAGGGACGCGAACAAGGGGACACAGGTGGAAGCTGAGTATCCAAATGAGCCACAGAGACGTTAGAAAGAACTTTTTCAGTGTCAGAGGAGTTAGTAAATGGAATGCACTAGGCAGTGATGTGGTGGAGGCTGACTCCATACACAGTTTCAAATGTAGATATGATAGAGCCCAGTAGGCTCAGGAATCTGTACACCAGTTGATTGACGGTTGAGAGGCGGGACCAAAGAGCCAAAGCTCAATCCCCGCAAGCACAATTAGGTGAGTACAATTAGGTGAGTACAATTAGATGAGTACACACACACACACACACACACACACACACACACACACACACACACACACACACACACACACACACACACATCGTAAACATCTCCGTCATTTCATACTTTGAGACCATAACAAAAATATTCATATCTATTTGCGTTGCAACAATTGATCATAAGGAAGGGGCAGATCCCGAGGGAGGGTGAACAGTAACCATGGGGAAGGAGGAGGTATCACGGGAGGGTAGAGAGTAACATGGGGAAGGGGAAGGTACTTAGGGAGGGTGGACAGTAACCATGGGTAAGGGGAAGGTATCACTGGAGGGTGGATATTAACAATGGGGAAGTGGCAGGTACAAAGGGAGGGTGGACAGTAACCATGGGGAAGGAGCGACACCGCTGGAGTGTTGGCAGGAAAATTGATTCATTTGTGATCATACCTCAGAGCGCGGCGGGTTGTGAGCGCGAGGCAGTCCCAGCTTGATTTGTACACTACACTCACATTTACTGGGTGAGCCTCACTCTCTACTGCTTCACTTGGTAAGTATTTGGCGAAAATCTTGAACTACTGCCTATCACTATTAATAAAATTTCGTGCTGGTCTGACTCTTAGTAGGGTCATTGTCAGTTGGTGTTAAATTTTAACTTACAGACAATTAGGTAATAAAATAAATTATCTTTTCATGAGCTGTTTAAGGTTTAACATTTACAGTGTAAAAAAGGACTATATATTTACTATTGTTTAGTTATTTGATAACGTTATTATTATATGAATGTAAATGAGATATAATTAAATATAATTGGAATGTTCACACACCAGCAGAGTAACCCTTGCAATGTTCACACACCAGCAGAGTAACCCTTGCAATGTTCACACACCAGCAGAGTAACCCTTGCAATGTTCACACAACAGCTCTTTAGCCCGTGCCATGTTCACACACAAGCTGTGTAGCCCCTGCAATGGTCATACACCAGCTGGGTAGCTCCTGCAATGTTCACACACCAGCTGGGTAGCCCTTGCAATGTTCACTCACAAGCTGTGTAGTCCCTGCAATGTTCATACACCAGACGTGAAGCTCCTGCAATTTTCACACACCAGCTGAGTAGCCCTTGCAATGTTCATACACGAGCTGTGAAGCCCGTGCATGTTCACACTTTGTTCACACTAAAGTTGGGTAGCCCCCGCAATGTTCATACACAAGCTGTGTAGCCCACTGCAATGTTCACACACCAGCTGTGTAGCCCATGCAATGTTCACACTCCAACTGTGTAGACCCGGCAATGTTCACACTCCAGCTGTGTAGCCCCTGCAATATTCACACACCAGCTGTGTAGCCCCTTGCAATGTTCACACTCCAGCTGTGTAGCCCGTGCCATGTTAACACACCAGCAGTGTGGACCCATGCAATGTTCACACACCAGCTATGTACCCCGTGCAATGTTCACACTCCAGCTGTGTAGCCCGTGCAATGTTCACACTCCAGCTGTGTAGCCCGTGCCATGTTAACACGCCAGCAGTGTGGACCCATGCAATGTTCATACTCCAACTGTGTAGCCCGTGCAATGTTCACACTCCAGCTGTGTAGCCCGTGCAATGTTCACACTCCAGCTGTGTAGCCCGTGCAATGTTCACACTCCAGCTGTGTAGCCCCTGCAATGTTCATACACCAGTTATGTATCCCCCCTGCAATGTTCACAGTCCAGCTGTGTAGCCTCCTGTAATGTTCCCACTTCAGCTTTGAAACCCTTGAAATGTTCACATTACAGCTGTGTAGACCCCTGAAATGTTCTCACTCCAGCTGTGTAGCCTCCTGCAATGTTCACACACCAGCTGTGTAGTCCCTGCAATGTTCCCACTAATTGTTTCCACAATTGTTTAATAGCTAGTGTGTGTACACTAGTTATTTTTTAAAAATTAAGTACTACTACTACTAATTCATAAATTAAGTAATAATAATAATTCAGATATTAAGTACTAATAATAATTCGTACATTTAGTTATAATAATAATTCATACACTAAGTACTAATAATAATTCATACATTAAGCAGACGATGAGTCACAATAAACTGACTGAAATATGTTGACCAGACCTAAGACACACTAGAAAGCGACGGGACGACGACGTTTCCGTCCGTACAGGACCATTCTCATGTCGATCAACTTGATAATGATGCAGGGAGGGTGAACATCGACTTGAGAATGCTCCAGGACGGACCGACATTTTGTCGGCTCTTCACCTTCTAGTGTGCGGTCTGGTCATCATACAGTAAATACTAATAATAATTCTTATATTAAGTACTAATTTTAATTCATACATTAAGTTATAATAATTATTCATAGATTAAATTCTAATAATAATTCATAATTTAAGTTATACTAATATTTCATAATAATAATTCATAGATTAAGTACTAATAATAATTCATACTTTAAGTTATAATAATATAATAATTCATACATATGGTTCTAGTAATAATTCACACATTAAATGCTGGAATGGGTAATCGATGGTGCCCGGGGTGTGACTGCTTATCCATCAGTCTGTCTGTCTGTCGGCTCTCTGTCTGTCTGTCTGTCTGTCGGCTCTCTGTCTGTCTGTCTGTCTGTCTGTCTGTCTGTCTGTCTGTCTGTCTGTCTGTCTGTCTGTCTGTCTGTCTCTCATTCCCTTACACACACACACACACACACACACACACACACACACACACACACACACACACACACACACACACACACACACAAACACACACACACACACACACTCACACACACACATACACACACCACACACACACACACACACACACACACACACACACACACACACACACACACACACACACACACACACACACACACACACACACACACACAAACACACAAAAACTTTAGAAACTTGTGTAAGGAATCTTTCAGAACATTATATACCACATATGTCAGACCAATCCTGAAGTATGCGGCACCAGCATGGAGTCCATATCTAGTCAAGCATAAGACTAAAATAGAAAAGGTTCAAAGGTTTGCCACCAGACTAGAACCCGAGCTGAGAGGTATGAGCTACGAGGAGAGACTACGGGAATTAAACCTCACTTCGTTGGAAGACAGAAGAGTTAGGGGGGACATGATCACCACATTCAAGATCCTCAAGGGAATTGACAGGGTTGATAAAGACAGGCTGTTTAACACAAGGGGCACACGCACTAGGGGACACAGGTGGAAACTGAGTGCCCAAATGAGCCACAGAGATATTAGAAAGAACTTTTTTAGTGTCAGAGTGGTTGACAAATGGAATGCATTAGGAAGTGATGTGGTGGAGGCTGACTCCATACACAGTTTCAAGTGTAGATATGATAGAGCCCAATAGGCTCAGGAACCTGTACACCTGTTGATTGACAGTTGAGAGGCGGGACCAAAGAGCCAGAGCTCAACCCCCGCAAGCACAACTAGGTGAGTACAACTAGGTGAGTACACACACACGCGCGCGCACACACACACACACGCGCGCACACGCACACGCACACGCACACGCACACACACACACACACACACACACACACACACACACACACACACACACACACACACACACACACACACACACACAGGCTACCAGGCTACCGGAGCCTGGTAGCCTGGTGGATAGTGCGCAGGACTCATAATTCTGTGACGCGGGCTCAATTCCCGCACGAGGCAGAAACAAATGGGCAAAGTTTCTTTCACCATGAATGCCCCTGTTACCTAGCAGTAAATAGGTACCTGGGAGTTAGTCAGCTGTCACGGGCTGCTTTCTGGGTTGTGTGTGTGTGTGAGGTGTGGAAAAAAAGTAGTTAGTAAACAGTTGATTGACAGTTGAGAGGCGGGCCGAAAGAGCAAAGCTCAACCCCCGCAAACACAACTAGGTGAATACACACACACACACACACACCGAAACATCTCCGTCACTTATGTTATTCTTTGAGAGTAAAACAAATGTATTCATATCTATTTGTGTCAGAACACTAGATGGATGGATAGACAGATGGATGGATAGATGGAAGCATTGATGAATAGTGATAACCATGGGAGAGCGCAAGGTACCAAGGGAGGGTGGACAGTAACAATGAGGGAAGGAGGAGGTATCACGGAAGGGTGGACAGTAACCATGGAGAAGGGGGAAGTATCCCGGGAGGGTGGACAGTAACCATGGAGAAGGGGGAAGTATCCCGGGAGGGTGGACAGTAACCATGGGGAAGGAGGAGGTATCATGGAAGGGTGGAGAGTAACAATGGGGAAGGGACTGGTTCCAACGGAGGATGGACAATAACCATAAGGAAGGAGGAGGTATCACGGGAGGGAGAACAGTAACCACGAGAAAGAGAAAAGATATCCGGAAGGGTGGACAGTAACCATTGGGAAGGTGAAGGAATAACGGGAGGGTGGACAGTAACCTTGGGGAAGGGGCAGGTTCCAAGTGAGGGTCGACAGTAATCATGGGGTAGGAGGAGGTATCATGGAAGGGTGGACAGTAACCATTGGGGAGGGACAGTAACCATGGGGAATGGGGAGGTATCACGGAAGGGTGGACAGTAACTATTGGGGAGTAGCAGGTACCAAGGGAGGGGTGGACAGTTACCATGGAGAAGGGGGAAGTATCCAGAGAGGGTGGACAGTAACCATAGGGAAGGGGGAAATATCAAAGGAGGGTGGACAGTAACCATAGGGAAGGGGGAAATATCACAGGAGGGTGGACAGTAACCAAGGGGAAGGGGCAGGAACAAAGGGAGGGTGAACAGTAATCAAGGGGAAGGAGGAGGTATCAACGGAGGGTGGACAGTAACCATTGGGAAGAGGAAAGTATCATGAGAGAGTGGACAATAACCATGGGGAAGGCGAAGGTATCATGGGAGGGTGGACAGATACCATGGGGAAGAGGGAGGTATGTCAGAAGTGTGGAAGGTAACCATGGGGAAGGGGCAGGTACTAAGGGAGGATGGGCAGTAACTATGAGGAAGGGGGAGGTATCATGGGAGGGTGGACTGTAACTATTGGGAAGGGGCAGGTACCAAGGGAGGGTGGACAGTAACCATTGGGAATGAGGAGGTATCACGGAAGGGTAGACAGTAATCATGGAGAAAGGGGAGGTATCATCAGTGGTGGACAGTAACCATGGGTAGGGGGGGAGGTTACCATGGGAGGGTGTACGGTAACAATGGGGACGGTAGCGACATCGCTGGAGTCTTGGCAAGAAACTTGAGTCAGTTGTGACTCAACCACAGTGATTGGTTGTGATTACAACCTCAGAGCGCTGCGGGTTGTGAGCGCGAGGCAGTACCAGCTTGATGTGTACACTCACATGTACCTGAGAATGTGAGGTGAGCCTCACATTCTATTGCTTCTCTTGGTAAGGATTTGGAGAAAGACTTAAACTACTGCCTCTCATTAATAATATTATAGTTCCTACTGGTCTGACTCTTGGTATGGTCATTGTCAGTTGGTGTTTAACTTCAGCTAACAGGCAATTAGGATAAAAATATTATATCACAAGTTGTATAAGGTTT